GATTGCATTGACTCAAAACTTGACTTCTTAAAAGCCACACTCACAGAAAATGGTTACCCTAACCGATTTATTAACAGCAACATGAAAGTTAAGCAGTCTAAACTGGTCACCGACTCACTATCAAAGAAAACCTTATTCATGAACTTGGAATTCAAAGGTGATCAAGCTTCAGATATGCTCGAAAATAGCCTCTCTAAATCAGTCAGTAAGACGTTCTTGGCAGCAAAATTACACATGACATTCACGAGCCGCAAATTGTTCTCTACCTCTGTAAAAGATAAACTCCCCCGTCTGACCGCCTCCATGTGCATCTACCAGTTCACCTGCTCTTGTGGAGTAAGGTATATTGGCCATAGTCAGAGAACGCTCTCCACACGGATACGGGAGTATTGATTAGCGTCTTAATAGGGGAAGTCTTCAGTATGTACGGTTGATTAAGGTCTACCTTGAGTACAACCAATCACTTACAACGCAATAAGCGTGAGATAATTACTAATCATTGTAATCGTCTAGAATGGACCTGAACTGGTGGAAAGGCGATAGAGTGTTCTTGCATAAAATCTGTATGAAAATGCAATGTTATTATTAAACAGAAACAGAGTGATAATAAGATAAGAATGATGAGAATAGTAATAATAATTATGAATTATTATAGTAAACTTACATAATAAAAGGAAGCGACATTGTAGTGAGAACGTTACTGCGGTCACAGTAAGGCGAAGGAATATATGTGGTACTTTTGAATGCAAAAGTCCTGTGTTCAGATCCCGAATAGCCAGTGATTCAGCTATGCGCTGATGGCGTGTGCTCGAAGTCCCTTTGTACGATATTGAGGTGGCTGCAACCACCTTATGTATTAACATTCCCTAAGCAGACAATTTATCCAGTCTAGTGTTAAGGGTATGATACCACTTCTGGCCACGTCAATGTATATTTATTAGTTTACTTGTTTGCATAGAGCAAACTATACCAGCCTTACGCAACACGTCAAGTTCAAATAACCTTTTCTGGAACATTGGCCAGCTTGGTTAAGCCAGTCAGAGGAGAAAAGAAGAATGCCAGCAGCTCTATCTGCAAACACCTTGTCAGCTGTGGATATCGAGTACCCCCACCTTCACTTGCATGAATGCTTCACAATGCTACACACAGGCCTTCAATATCGTATAAAGAGACTTCGAATACGCCATCAGCACATAGCTGAATCATTGGCTATTTGGAATCTGAAAGAGAGACTTCTGCATTCAAAAACACCACATACATTCATTCCTTCACCCCACCGTAGCCAGAGTGACGTTATCACCACAATTTTGCCTCTTTTTTATTATAGCAAAAATATTCATTCAGACATCTATAAAACACAAAATTATCGAGGAAAAAATATTCTTTTCGATAAATTCCTCCTCTTCTGGCTCTACAAGTATGCATGCTTATATGTTTATACACATAGAATATTCTAGAATAGTAGTCAATAACAGTATTAGTCTTTTTTAAATAATATCGATTTGTAAAGTAAGATCACAATGGTATTACAGTTCATTAAAGATGCATAAATTACAATAATTAGAATAAAGATATAATAGCAAATAGAATATCAACTAAAGTTAAGGAAATTCCCACAACCAATTGAGGATCATTCAAACCTGGATGGCCAAGGCAAGGATAATGTCTCAACTAACTTCTTTTGGATGCATAAATTAGGCTTGTTAATATGGATCCCCACAGCATCAGTAAAATTTAGTCGTCGAACTCTTAAGGCAAAATTGAGATTCGCAGGTATGCAGTAAATGACCCTGATAGCATTATTATTTATATTATTATTATTATATCCTTTAATTCCTAGAGGAACATAGGGCTTCAGCTACACGTCTCCATTTCGTTCGGTTTTCTGCCAACGTTTTCACCCCACTCCAAGTCTGCCCACAGGCTTACATCTCCTCTTCACATGACCTCCTTCAAGTCACCCTTGCACTGACGACCAACTCGCCAATTCCTTTTCGGGTTCCACTTGAGGGATTGTCTAGTGATGTAACTTGATAGTTTCCTCAAAGTATGGCCAGCCAATCCACCTCCATTTCTTCCTGCTTATTTCTTGCACAATCAGTTCCTGCTGGGTTGGTTCGCTTGTTGCGAGAGATCCCTCATTATTGCTGATCTTTTCTGGCCGGCCATCTGATCTTCAGTGGTATTGAGCAAAGACAACTGTTAATGAAGGTCTGTAGTTTGTTTGAGATGCTCTTTATGACGCGCTGGCCAAGTCTCTGATCCGTATAGTGAGTAGCACTGACTAACTTCACATTGGAGTTGAAAATCCGGATGTTATTTTTGATGCTGAGGAGTGCTGTTGACCTGCACACAGACTTGGGAGTAATGAAAACTTGTCTTGCTTTTCTAATTCTTGCTTTGATATCCTCGTCAGTTTCGCCTGTGGTTGAAACGATGCTTCCCAGGTAGGTAAAGGAGGTTGTTTCTTTCAGGTACCTCCCATTTATGCTGATTGTTGTTGCTGGTGGTGTTGGCCAGGAATCTTCATCACCACATCTGTTTTATCTATGTTCACCTGAAGTCCTTCCTATCTTTAATGCTTCTTCTTCCAGCTTATTGCTTTTCACTTGCATATCTTCCAGTTTGTGGTTAACATAAATCTTGTGTTCAGTATCCACAAGATGAGGTGGAATAGTGCTGCGAATAGATTTTGTTTGTCCTTTGCCTAACCACAAAGGATGATGCTCGGAAATCCGACGAGAAACACGCCTAATTGTACGGCATATGTAACTGGCTCTACAGGAGGCAGTTAAATTGGTAAATACACATGGAAAAGTCAAAATTAGGCAGTTTGTCATTTTAACTCCCGAACGCGTAGGTTTACTATAATTATCACTATTATTCTCATCATTCTTATTTTACTATCATTCTATTTTTGTTTATTAATAACATTACATTTTTTCATACAGATTTTATATATAAGAAACACTCTATCGCCTTTCCACTAGTTCAGGTCCATTGTACACAATTACAGTGATTAGTCATTATCTCACGCTTATTGCATCATACCGACTTCTAACTTTGTTTCTTCTAATTTCCCCATTCATCATTGCCTTCTAGACTACACCTTAACACATGACACGTAATTACATTTTTCGAGGACAAATTTTACCAGTCGTATCCGACTGGTCGTCGTCTTATGATTTCTTTGTTAAACATAATTACAATTGTATAGCAAGTTATGAAAATGAATCGTCGAAAAGGAAATCTTTCTTCTTCGCTGTTTAAGTCTTTTCTCTTGCTTATGATTCAAATCTGGAAATATTCCGTTCACAAAAATATATTCCACATAAGTAGAATAAAGAGAGTCATTTATGTCACTCTCGTCAACAAAAACAGGAGATTCGTGTTTTCTTAAACTCCGTACAATTAGGACAGTAGTAAGCCCAGAAAACAGATAAGGTTAAGCGTGATGCTGGCGATTGCAAGCGCCTCCATCACACACACACACACACACATACACCGGAAACCTTGCGACACTACTGTTATACTAAAACGTTTAGAAATTTTGGAGCTCTATATCCCACACAAAACAAAAAATAATGGAGAAAACAATTAGAATACAAAGAGAAATGATTGACCTGAGAGAAATTTCGAAAATAAAAACCGCAACCTCACCCTGGGTTAATTAGTCACACACACACACACTCACTTACTTGAGTGAGCATAAAAACAGAAATAGGGATGTGTTTAAACAATAAAGCATCATTAAGTACTTGTGTTATGTGTGTGTTGACAGACTTACATATTGATATTTAGTGCTAAAGTTAAAATATTCATTGAGTATTAATAATGTTATTATTGTCATTATAAAGTGATAAAATAAGGTCCAATACACACACATACATACACTACCCCTATGGATTCTCTTTTTTTAATTACGATTATCAAGGTTGAAGCATCTCATATCTATCAAAATACATTAGGATTCCATCATTCGAGTGTTAGCCTGCACACTGAGCGTGATGTCATTCAACGGACTCCTTAACGTATGCCGGACCCATCTCCATTTTCGCCTACAAATTTGTTGAGCGATCAACTCATGGTTTGTTTGCTCCACTGAGGAGTTCTTGCTTATCCTCCATTCTGACTGGCTGGTCATTTCATCTTCATATAGAGCCAGAGAAGGCGGCAGTTGTTAATGGAGATCTACTTTTAGCCTCTTGGAAATCCATTTGGTGAAGAACTGACTAACTAATTGATGACTTAACATTGGTGTTGAAAATGCAAATCTTATTCTTCATACTCTGACTGTGAATGAAATGGAGAAGATTGCCAAACTGATTTCAAGTTCATGAAGGTGTAACGTGTCTTGCTTTTCCGATTCTGGTCAGCTTTGACACCTTTATTCAATTCAGTGTGACTATGGTTGAAACCCTGTTTCCTAGCTGGATAAGTAGTAGAAAGTAATCTCTGTCAATTCTCTCCCGTTGATGATGGTGATTGTTGCTGGTTGGTTACACCTTCATCGCCTCCGTCTTCTCTATGTTCATTTAGAGTCGCGGTTTCCTCTACTTCTTCTGTCAGTTTATTGGTTTTCGCCTGCCTGTCTGTCTGCCTGTAAGTCTCCAAGTTTGCATGAGATTAAACATAAATTGTCCATGCACATAACTCACATTCTCTGGTTGGGGTCCTCGGGACGGTTAAAAACCAATGTAGGCTGGAGACAATTGGTGATATGGCTCAAAATCCTCGTTCTCAATGACTGGTGTAGATGCATCCACTCCTTGTGACTTATGATTACTATCCCTTTGTTTGATACCTCTGTTTACTCTCTCTCTCTCTCTCTAATATGCGCTTCCTCTTCTACATTCTTCTCTTGCTTTGTGTGCTACAAGGAGGGAGTGTGGCAACTCGAACTGGTGCACATCGGTGCAAAGTTCTACGTTAAAAACAGTCAGTCAGCCAGTCATATATTTTTCTTAAGCATAATTATATAATTCTATCACATAACAAACCTTGCTTTTTTGATCTTCATAACTCAACACCTTACGCGTTTGATCTGCATTGAAACGCATCAGAGAGCAAAGGACTTTTGACAATGTCTAGAGAAAAAGAAACCAAAATATATATACAGAATGTCATTTCGAATGAAGAAGAGTAAATATTTGCAGGTATTAAGCTTTAGTTCTCCGGTCAATAGAGTTCAGGTCAAAAGCATTTCACCTAAATGTATCAGTATCACAAGTTAAACTTTAAGCACCACTAACTACTACCAATCAGCGAATGACCTCGAATGCACCAATCACATGAAGGAGGCACTATTGTGTATGCAATGCGTATATTTATGAGAAAAAAAAATGCATGAAAACTGCACAAAAGTGTTATAGAGGATACCTTTTCTCTACATGTGTTAAAAAAATAGCACTTAATTTTAGGTTGGAGTATCAGCCGTGTATAATTCTATTGTGGATAAAATTTATTTCAATATTTATTTATTTTATTTATTTATAACTTATTTATTTTATTTTTATGTATTTTTGATTTTTAAAAATCTCAAATAATTTATGAGGTAATTAGATGCAATATACTGTAATGCACGCTGAAAATTCCATACCTGTACCACAAATACTGTTTGGAATAAAGCTGTTATTATTATTATTATTATTATTATTATTTATTTTGATAAAGTATCATAAGTTTTATACAGCAATATTTACTGAGCAATAGATTGTGCTCGAAACGTGGTCGTCATCAGTAAATATTACTACTGTATAACACTGTGAGACTTTATCAGAATAAATTTTAACCCCAATGGAATTAAACTATACCACAGTGCATAAGTTCTATTCTTATATCAACAGAGTAATTTAACCACATTCTTTGCGTGTAATTGTTTAGGTCTTCTAAGCCTGACAATAATCCTGATTTTTCCTGAACCTAACCCTGACGTTAAAGTATCCCTTAACTCCTTATAAAGTAACTGGGAACAATCCCTAGTGTCAACCTTTATAAGGTTAACCTAACCTAAACTTGTCCTTGGCTTAAAGCGAAGCTTAATCTTTCACAAACCCTAGCTGAAACTTGCCAGATATCCTATTTAATAACATAATACTTCGATGGGCATATTTTATTGATGATGGCATTATTATTTGCCGGATTCCACTAACTTGCTCAGTGAGCTTTTCAAGGTAATCGGAACGTCGCACTCCGTTGGTAGTTTATAGGTGCTCAAAAGTTTATCTTAGCCCACAAGTGATTGCGAATAAAATTAAAACCCCAAAAAAAAAAAAATTTAAAATCCCCAAATAATTTTTTAAAAAAAAAAATTTTTATAAAACCAAAATTTTTTTTAAACCCCAAAAAAAAAAATTTTTTTTCCCCCTCCCCTTTTTTTTAAAAAAATTTTTTTTTCTTTTTATAAAAAAAAAAAAAACCTTTTTTTTAAACCTTTTTTTTTTTTTTTCCCCATTAATTTTTCCGGGCTTAAAAAAATTTATTATTAAATGGTATTAAATGGAGGGGTTGTGGCCCCGGCCCCAATATTTGGAAAAAAAAATTCCAAAAAAGGAAAGTCCCCTCCCCCTTTATTTACAACCATCCCCTTGTATCATCAGGTAGGACGAGAAGTCAATATAAGAAGTTATATGCTCGTACCACTAGGTACAGAAATTCTACAGTACCCTTTTTCCCTTTTTTTGAAACTTTTAGAAAACAAAATTTTAATTAAAGAACCCATTCATCGTTCATCTTTCTGTAATTTTATGGTGTCACCCTTTCTATCGCTTAATTATAACTTAGCTGTTTTATTTTAGTTGTTATTACTATTAGTACTGCAATTTTATACTTTATGCATATTTTCTCAGTATGGCATACAGTATTATGATATGTAGCTGCTATAACAATCGTTTTATTACTATTATGTAACGTGTATTTTTAATTTTTTGTCGTTTTTGGGTAAATTAGATGCAATATTGTAGTGAATGCTGAAAATTCCTTGCTGTATCATTAGTACTGTTTTTGGAATAAAGCAAAAATTATTATTATTATTAAAAAATGGTAATTGAGTGTGGAGCTATTGAGTCATGCAAACCATCACCGTCTCCCTTATGAAGGCACATCGACTAGTGACCACCTCTTCTTCGACCGGAAACGTTAGCTGAAATATAACTTGGGTTGGTATAAGAGTTAGGCGTGATCAAACCAAAAAGATAACGCATCAGTCCATAAACCCTTTCACTGTTGTATAATTGGATCCCATCCCAGTAGATTATTGGTCTACGAGTTCGCTGGTCTTGTAACCAGAAGGTCCTGAAATCGAACCCTAGCGGTGGGTGAGCACTGATCAAGCACAGTTCCAAACTAGGCTGACGAAACAGATGCTTAATATTCACTAAAAGGTTTTTAATGGATCTCTAACCAATGTCAATTCATGATGAAATCCTGTAACCAATCCAATCCATGCAAACCAATAACTTGAATATTAATCTGATGCTCACTAGTGACTGACCCTATTCAGGTAGGTAGGTAGTTAGTTATCTGAATTCTTCTAGTGAGAAGTTGTGACCAGTGAGATATAGCAGGTTGGGTGTGAGGACAAATACTCGCCACCGATGAAATTGGCTAGTCACCAGTCGCGCTATATCATAAATTGGAATTTATGAGCTGGCTATTGGATTGGAGGTTCCCAGTGACTTAATGGTCTACGAGCTCACCTCATAACTGGAAGGTATTGGGGGGTTCGAATCCCCTGTGGTGAATGCATACAACCGGTGAATCCCACAGGATAGTTCATATGTACTCATTTGTTCATTATTATTTATTATTATTTCACGAATTCCTTTCATCTGCTTAAACACAACTCTTTGTTTTGTAAGCATAATCACCAACGGTTAACGACAGTCTGTTTTAACCATTTGATGATGGGATCTAGGCTAAAATGGTATCACCTTAAATCACCAAAAATGCAAGACTATTGACTTCTCCTTTAGACATAAACGTGATATACACGAATCGATCAACCCACAAGATGTTTGTAACACATAGCCGGCGGGGGGAGGGGACTGGAATGGAAACTGAGTCAAGCATAAAATACCTTGGAATACTTCCATCCTCTAAACTTTATTCGTCATCCTATATTCTGTCAATCTCCAAGAAAATGTTACGTCTAAGCAAATATTTTTTTATTTTTGACCACAGCTTGATTCCACACTGTATTTTTTGGTACAGGTATGGAATTTTCAGCATGGATATCGGTAGTCCAAATTTCGCAGACCGACCATAGATATCAGGTGTGAGTCGGCAGGGGTTCAAACCTTGGACCATGTGCATGGTCGGCGAGAGTCCTAACCATTGTGCCACCGACGCACAATATGGGATCACTCAATACCCACACAGTTTGTAAACTCATTGTATCCTTCTGATTGTTCTTTACTGCTCCCCCTCTAGCTTTCCTCCACTACTGGAAAAGCACGACATTATTTCGAAAGGGGTAATAAAAGTCGTCAGTAGGGCGAGTGGTTTGCCACTGAGTCAGTCATCTTGATACCCCTGTAGTCGACAGACACTCGAATTCATGTGAGAAATGTTCCAGATCCATATTGTCTGACTCTGAACACACACATACATCTGAACACACATACATACATTCACACGAATCTACCCTCCTTCCCCCCACCTCGGATCTCCTCAGGTAGGTATATAAATCATTATGAGAGGCTACATACCTGCACAACTTTGTATATAAAGCTCAGCGATACCATATTCCACCTTCCAGTGTCCTATGTGATAGAGATAGTGTTAAGCGTGAGGAGCCTAGGACTGAATATGTAATTAGCAAAATGATCAGCTCCTGTTTGTAATCTATATTGAAGCTGTTTTAATTGACTTAGAATTTTGGCTGTTAACATTATTGTGATCATTATTTTACACTTTTAGTACATTTTGACTTCACTATCACGGCAAATACGAAGAAGGTACTATTATCAATTATATTGACATAATATTAATTTTTATTTTTGACGTAGTCGAATAAATTAGTCGCAGTATTGTACCGAATGCTGAGAATTCTATGCTATGTCATAAGTATTGCTTTGGAACGACGCATATTATTATTATTTCCTTTAATTCCTAGAGGAACATAGGGCTTCAGCTACACGTCTCCACTGCATTCGGTTCTCTGCTAACGTTTCCACCTAGCTCCACGTCTGCCCACATGCTTTCATCTCCTCTTCACATGACCTCCTCCAAGTCACCCTCCCACTGGCGACCAACTCGCCGCTACCCATCCGGGTTCCACTTGAGGGCTTGTCTAGTGATGTCACTTGATGGTTTCCTAAAAGTATGGCCAGCCAATCCACCTCTATTTCTTCCTGCAGATTTGTCGCACAACTGGTTCCTGTTGGGTTGGTTTTCTCCCAGAGATCCCTGATGCTGATCTTTTCTGGCTGGACATCCGATCTTGGGTATTGAGCGAAGACAGCTGTTGATGAAGGTCTGAAGTTTGTTTGACGTGCTGGCCAAGTCTCTGATCCGTATAGTGAGTAGCACTGACTAACTTCACATTGGAGTTGAAAATCCGGATGTTATTTTTGATGCTGAGGAGTGCTGTTGACCTGCACACAGACTTGGGAGAAATGAAAGCTTGTCTTTCTTTCCCGATCCCGGTTGTTATGAAATCCTCATCTCTTCCGTCCGCCTCTATTTGACACGATGCTTCCCAGGTAGCTAAGTAAAAAAGTTGCTTCCTTCCGATTTCTCCCATTTATGCTGGATGATTAATGCCTGTTATTCTGGTTTCTGTTGCTTTTGGCCAGGAATCTTCATCACCACATCTGTTTTCTCTATGTTCACCTGAAGGAAGTCCTACCTTCTCTGAATGCTTCTTCTTCCGACTTGTTGGTTTTCACTTGCATATCTTCCAGCCTGTGAGAAATCAGACATATATCATCGGCGAAGTCCAGATCCTCCAAGTGTTTTGCGTGGGTTTACTTTATGCCTGTTTTCTCGCTGCCTAGCCCGCTGTCTGTCGCATTATCCAGTCTACAAAAACCACGAAAATCATTGGAGATAGTAGGCAGGCAGCTTGTCGTACTCCAGTCTTTAC